TTGTAACAATGTATTGCACAAACTGGTTCGAAACCTCTCCAATTTCAGTCCAAAAGTAAATAAAATTAGTTAATAAATCGATCACAGTGAATGACATCGTCACTTACAGGGTGCAGATTTCGAATATGAGTTATTTTAATCCATAAATTATACAGCGCCGCGTATCAGATCCTAGCATAGCTGTAAGTTATAGTCTCGAAAAAAAAAACAAATACTCGAATACTGTATAATTGTGATGATAATCACAGTATACGAGTATTTGAGTATACGAGGCCTGTGCCCAGCAGTGGGACGTATATAGGCTGTAACTTTACTTTTTTATGATTGTTATATCAATCAGTTAAATCATACAGACTTATACAATCACTAGTTTCTGAAAAAGAAAAAACTGGCCAAGTGCGTGCAAACATGTGTATTTAGAAGGGGCCGTCTTGATAATACGAGCATATTAGGTGAATTCATGGGAGATTACGACACGTTTTCATCAGGTATATTCTCTAAACTTTCTCTAAACGAAACAGGATTTTACAACCAGTGCGTCTTGTCAGTATGACTTTTGGATCTGAGACGTGATCCTACTACACTACACTACTGGCCATACGAATATGCTCGGGTTTTCTCCAATCTATTCTGAAAATGATTAAAAAGTACGGCTACGTAAACCAAAATTAACACGAATAAACTTTATGAGACTGTATGAACGTATTAAGCTGTAAATGAGGCCTTACAATAACTACCAACTAAAAAATAAGCGAAAGTGGTGTGTCACGATCGGCCTCTCGACGATTCTAGAAACAGGGATTAGGGATTTTCAGTAAGCGTAGATATCCAGGAAATTTTGATGGATCCCATGGACGTAGCACCTCTCTCATGCGGAGCTTGGACTCTCAAATCGACAGTGATGAGGGTTTCAGGTGCTCCTTGTATATCCTAATACCTTTGTTAAGCACTTAGGCTTTTCGGTCTGAATGATTAATAGAGCCATTATAATTATAGGCTGGAAGAGATCGCTATGTAGCGATAAGGCCGCCAAATTGTACATGTAATCTGCTCTCTGTTATGTTCTTTGTAAATTTGTTTGTGGTGTGCAATAAAGTATTTCATTCATTCATTCATTCATTCATTCATTCATTCCATTATAATTATAGGCTGACATTTAATATCGGTCCTCTTAAGTGACTACGATTTGTTGCCTTCTTTGTTAGATGGTTGTCCATGAGCGGTAGTAACCATTTGTCATCAGGTGGATTGTAAGTTCGTTTCTCACTTTGGTCTTATAAAAAGGCTTTCAAAGGAAATTATACAGCTTCTGAAAGAATTCTCCCCTGTAACGCTTAAGTAGCGCCTTGCCGTTTTTAAAGTGCTGTAGAGCCACTCTGATCTCGCTCAGACTGAAGTTTTGGGATATCGCCGGAATATGATGTGTATAATACGTCTTTCAAAATCTTTGTTGTCCCGTTAATCTACCAACCACCATGATTGTTCTTCAACTTAGACTGTTGGCTCTTTCCGACTGACAGATCTCTGGCAAAGACTGAAGCTTTGGTTACGCTCAATCGCTTCTTCTATATGAGATATATTGAAGCTGCATCAGGCTGCGTAAGTAATAATTTAAAGCTATCAAAAGTTATTGCTAATTCCAGAAAGGTTTCTCTCTTTCTCTTATTGATGCAGTTACCAGATTTGAAAAAATGAAGTGATTTTCATTCTGTAAATACTAGGAACCAGACACAAGCTAGTAGTAGAGATAATCTACCCAGAGATGAGACTTATTTTAGATACAAGTATTTGACATAAAGATACAAGACAATACGTATTTTCATCTTTTATCTGATATACTTTTTTTAATTTTCATTATGTATGTTATATTTAGATGCCTACATTTTTTTGCTATCTTAGTATTTTGTAAGTACTAAATATGCTAAAATACGTTTATAGTACGTGGTGACTTAAAACCAGAACAATAAAACTTAAATTAGTAACATCTATTAGTATAAGTACTAAATATGCTAAAATACATTTATAGTACGTGGTGACTTAAAACTAGAACAATAAAACTTAAATTAGTAACATCTATTAGTACAAGTACTAAATATGCTAAAATACGTTTATAGTACGTGGTGAGTTAAAACCAGAACAATAAAATTTAAATTAGTAACATCTATTAGAATACTTTAAATTACGAACAAAACATAAAATCATTTGATCGAACAATATTAAAAAAATACCCTGCTTGCTCTGACACGATTTTTGTTTTTATAATCATTGTTTTCTATATCTTTTATTAAAAATTGATGATGAAATGGATTTAAGTCACACGCACTATAATAGTACATTACGGTGCAAACGATTTAGTAGGCGATTACTGAACCGTGCGAAGTTAGCGCACGAGCGAAATGCACTAACTTTACACGTTTTAATAATCGGTTACTTAAGTTCAGTATATCGTACATTATTTTATAGTACATATATTTTATGGTATTATCTGACTAACTACAACTAATTGTATTGTAAGCACTAATGTAATTTGTCTAGAGTTTTCTACATTTTAAGTTTTTAGATATTTAGCCCAGCTTCTACAATAGCTTGCATGGTGGTAACATTTCATCTTACGGTTCGATTTTGACGTAACACTATAGTGATAGTCCCATCCATCCCCCTTCTCAGATTTTTGTGTAATGCTGGTTTAGACAGACAGACAGAAATTAAGATTAAGTTTGCGTGGACCTTTGTAAAGTGGTGTTGTTAATTATTTTTTTAATAGACCATGAGGTTTAAAATGACTGATGTGGTCGCTTAGTCTATTAATTCATTTATTATGTAAGACGAATTGAAGGTGAGTAGTCATACGCAGGCATTCCCATGTGTCAAAGTATAAGTCCACGCATCCTATGCGTACAATAAAACTAGTTGCTCATTAGACTAAATCTAGCTGTCCAGCTGTATCAACGTCCTACAAAAATGCCAAATTGTTCAGTTTTTGCTGCAAAGAGAGATCTGCCACGTTAAATTAGCATAAAACATTGTGTTGCCTTTCACATATAACTCATTTTTAATCGCTTAATTAGCTTTTTAACTACTTTTTGTTTTGGATTAGTTAGAGCCACTCACCCACATGCAATATGCAGATCGATCGGGCGACTGAGCCGCGTCTGTATCCGTATTGTAGCTGTCACCGAGTCACACGCTAAGAAGAATAGTTAGACTGTGACTGAGTGATATTGTTACAACGTATCTATGTGTGTGTGAAATTGTCAATTTATTGTTTTAATTGTTATGTGTGAGTTTCGTCCTGACAGATGATTGTTTTTTGTGCGCAGCTTTCAGCAGATTTCCTCCCGTAAAAAATGACAGGTAGTTCTGTAAGGGAGAAAAATTTTAGTCCATTTGGTCCTATGGTGGCCCGAGTTGCTCCTTGTTTACATAAAACAAAAATAATCTATTAGGTCTTTACCTATCAAATTTTCGTTTCATCAAACTGGCCATTTTTACAGATGAGACTTGACTTGCAATTCTGAAAGAGTTGCTCCTTGTTTACATAAAACAAAAATAATCTATTAGGTCTTTACCTATCAAATGTTCGTTTCATCAAACTGGCCATTTTTACAGGTGAAACTTGACTTGCAATTCTGATATCATAAATACAAGTCTTAATTGTGTATTAAAGGCAAGTTATTCTATATAATAGGAGATATTTAACGTAATACTGGCTGTATTAAAGCTGATGAAGCAGCCAGGCTAATCAACCCTAAATAATATATACCCTGCTGCTACCATAACACAGAAGGCGAAGAATTCATTTATTTTCTAATTATCCCCGGCTACTGAGATAATGCGGGCTGCATATCAATGCGAGATAATTTGACGTATATATTTAATGTTCTAATAAAGAAACAAGAAACAGCCGCAAATATCATTCAGCGCCACATCGTCTTCACACGCCGCTATCGTTATGTATCCGTCGGCCATTTTGAGCCGTTTCTTCAACGCCGCAGCTTCGCTTCTTCTTGCTGTTCCGGAGCTGTGTCCCACGCCGAAGCAAAATGGGCAACCCTCCGGAAAGCGGGGAAGGGAGGTGGGGAATGCTCATAGCATACCACACAGCCGGCTGCGTGGTTATGTGGAGACTTTTACCCACTAAACCCCACTTTTATGGATTGGCTTACCGATCTGACCAGAGATCTCTAAGCCGTATACGAACGCGACCCTCCTTGGCAGAAAGGAGGGCGCAGCAGAAAGGAGGGCGCAGCGCACGCGCCGGCCTGCACAACTTTTATAGCCCAGTCCAGCGACGTAGCTACGAGAAGATATACACGAGTCTCACGCCGGCAAATGGAACGCACATAATAGTTGTATTTTGATTGATCTTTATTGGTCATAATGTAAGAATTGTAATTGGCTGGGCAAATAAAAATTGTTTTTGTTGGTAAACTAGCGACGTAGCCGGACACATAAATATAGGCAGGGTTGACGTAAAAATATATTCCATATTTCATACTCGATACACCATTCGTCTGCATATTATATAGTAGTTTCATTTCTCCGCCACTAGACCACTCGGAGTCTGTTAATAGTGGACCTCATATCCCCACTATTACAGTGGTGACCCCGACGTGATTAGTTTTTAAAGTTTAATCATATACAGACGATACATAACGTAACCTAATTTTAATTTTTTAACAATTACCCTTAGAATAATCAACTATACTTTTTATGACCAAAACGATTATGTTCATTTTTTTTTCACAGTAATAAAATGTAGTAAATAAGTAAATAAGTTTTTTTTTGCTATTAGTTATTCTAAAAATAATTTATCCAGTCACAAAATGGTTAGATTATTTTTTTAAATATAACAGACTTCAATTAATAATTATTAGATTTAGTTCAGAGGACCACCGTGTAAGTACACTCAAAATATTGTGTTACATATAGTACAATTGACAACCTACTTTTTTGAAGTCGGTCAAAAGTGTCTGTAAGTTTTAAACAAAGTATGGTGTTTACAAAACGATAGAGGATATTGTAGTACCCGACCCTGTGCGAGGTACGGACAATGGACGTGGCTTCGCCGCTGGTGCGGGCGCCGGCACTGGAAGCACTCGTCGCACTCGCACACCGGCTGCAGCTGCCCGTAGCGGGATCAAATTCGAACTGCACGATGTACAGAACACTTTACCGCATTTTCCACAATGGTGTCGACGTCGGAACGCCGTGAAGTGAGCGGAGCATCTCATACAAGATGGCGCCGCTATGTCAGGCACCCATTCCGGAGCCCGCTCTATGCACGGTGAGGCGGAATGATTCTCTTCGCGCCTATAAGTCAGGTCGCTAGTAGAAACAGAGGCTTGAAGATTGACAGTGTTGTCCATAGATTTCCTCCTTACATCATTATTGGCGGCCTGACTTATAGGCGCGAAGAGAATCATTCCCCCTTGCCGTGCGGAGTCTGTTAATAGTGGACCTCATATCACCACTATTACACTGTTGATAGTCTGTAGCATAATACGTACATCATTAAGGTTATTTGCGCGTTGGTCACCCTCTTTACTTAACGAACAATTTCTATACTTTACGAAATGTAAATATTCTATTTACTATTTTTTTAATTAAAGTAAAATAAAAACTTTAACATCTTTATTATAAACAATAACAACGTATAATTTACTAAACGGCACCACAACCACATCCATTAACAGGTCCAGCCCATCCAGTACCGTATCCGAAACCATTGAACGCCGCTGGACCGTAGTTCAATCCATTTGATGGCCACCCTAATCCAGCAGCATTCGGTGAAGTGTTCTCGCTCACGATTCCCACATTTCCATTGCCACAACCATACAAGATAGCACCAGCCCCAGAAGTTGGCAAAACACCTTCTAATCCAACTGTACCCAAAAATGGCAGTTCACCTACGACTGACAGGATACCTTCGATTGCGTTTTCAGATACAGCAGAAACTCCATACGGTGAAACTGGCGACGCGCTTGAGATAACAAAACCACCGCCGCATGAGGGTGGGGACGCCAAAAGGTCGCATGCTCCTAGGAATGGGACGGTAGCAGCACATGGAGCAGAAGCTAATGAATTTTCGTAAGCAAAACCTGGAGTCCAACCCAAACCGTCAGCGATGGGCAGGCCTGCTGACCATCCTGAATTAGGGCAATAGGCAGAGATAGTCTGTAAAAAAATTACCATTATAATATGCCTAACATTCTAGGATATTAGATGTTCTATGCTTAAATATTATGAATCCCGTAGACATTACCTTAAAAACAAATATTTGTGCAATAAGCAGGAACAAAGTTTTCGCTGACATTGTTTACAAATTATTTATCAAATTTATTAATTTTACTGTCTGGTGACAGGGAATGAATGATTAAGGATATCCTTCTTCGATTATTTATACTTAAAAATACTTCTTTAGGCATAATTTCAAGGTGTTATGTCATGTATTCTTGCAGGCAGTTACGCTGACGAGTATAATAGATGAAGTAATCGATTAAAAATAAATTTCATTACTTTTAATGAAATTTTTAATTATTTCGCAAATTATTTTTTATACATTTTAACAGTGTTTTGTATTCGTGTTTGATAATACACCACTTGAATCAATCACATGGCAACATTATACTTATCTATAAAATATACATAAAATTGAATATTAAATTGAAGAGTCAGTCCGTGATATCAAAATAAATTCCTTGTAAGAAGCTAAAGATTATTTGAATGTTATTAACACATGAATAACTATTTAAAATATCTGTCTGTCTGTTTGTCCAGTCTGTTCTTCGGAATGACTGAACCGATTGTAATGAAACTTAAGAAACAGATAGAAAGGAAAGCCGGGTGTGGTCTTGGTTATATTTTATCCGAAAAACTTTCAGTTTTTTTTAGAAATCGTAAAATTGATAATACAAATGGTACCTTTGATGATTACCTTGAACCCAAATAATGCCACATTACCACACACACATTAGATCTTACCCAAACGAAGAAAGGGTATGCCGCTAGTTTTACAAAATTTGTATAAAAACTTGAACGATTAAGCAGTACACAACGAAATCGCTTACCTTCACCTCACCCACGTCTATCTTTGCATTCGCTTAAATTTTAAAAGATGCTTAATGGATTTTTATACTATATTTACTAACACAAACATATTATAACATTTCTGGGGGAAGGTTTTCGCGTGCAAAACGTCTATATTTGATGATATTTTGTGAGTGACTAAAACATAAGTAGAAAACTATTCTATGTGAGTTAAAAGATTTTTATATGCGATATACACTCTTATTTATTATATTTTTATTTAAAACTAATTTAATATTTTCAAATAATATTTACCTATTCTTGCCATTTATAAAATGTAATTCACTTTTAACTGCTCAGAATATTCACCTCATACTTATTCCACTCATTTACATAATACATTCAAACACAACACAACTTAACCACTCACTCATTAATAGTAAACACATACTCTCAATTGTTATATTGTATATACAACCCATTAACTATAGCTTTAAAATTAACAGTGCCACACCAAGTGATTATTTTATACTGTTAGTTAAAGAATTTAAGTTGAAAGTACACTATGTTACGTCTTTAAATGAATTACAAATACTTAGTTATGGGCTATTACTTGTAGTGGTTGCTTTACATATTTATTGCACACAATTTAACTTTTTGTACTCAATTACTAATATAATTAAAAGGCGATAACACAAAAGACTTAAGCGATGTTATTGACCAATTTACAATATCAAACTCATCACTACTTTACGACCTGGATAATTTGTCTAGGTTAATATCTGATCAAAATCATAAGTTAAAAATAATGCATTAAAACATCAGAAGCATAAATTGCAACATAGATGAACTTAAAGTTCTAATACATAGGTCAGCTTTAGAATGGGACTTAATTCTTCTTACAGAATGTTGGTTGCCGTCCACCCACTATATTCCGATAATGGATGGCTATAACTATTGTAAAACTCTTAATAACGCAACCCAAAATGAGGGTGTAGTGGTGTATTTCAAAAAATCTTTGAATATAACCTGGCAGGAGTTGTCAATATCAGATTGTAATTGTATTCTTCTAAAAATATGTAAGGGTACCATAGTCATTGTAAGCTGGATTTAAGGATCCCACAAATTTTATTGAATCGCTTAGTAGTACGCTCGATCAGTATTCACATTATAAAACCATAATTATAATTGGCGATGTTAATATAGATATTGTTATACATAGTAAGGATTCCTACTCTCCATATTACTTAAATAGTCTGGCATCTAAAGGTATGTTACCTGCCCACACCTTCCCTACCAATGGCAAAACGTGTCTAGATCACGTTATATTGAAAACAAAACTTCGGTCAACCTTCTACGTTGCGTAGACTTCTATTACTGATCATGATACTCTTATATTTCTATTAGAGGCTACTCTAGATACACGTAGTTTGCCGCCAAAAATTAGAGAACGTGTAAATAACGATAATTTAGATAGTTACCTTCTCAATTTAGACTTTAAAAGACTTTATTTATTCTATGGTAGATGTTGACTCAGCAGCTACATTCCTATTATAATCCCTAAGTAATGCTTTAAAAAAGAATACTGAAACAATTAAAGTTTCTAATCGCAAAATTATTAAAAAGCCCTGGATTACCCCAGGTATTTTGAGATGCTTAAGAAATCGCGACAAATTACACCAAAAATGTAAAAAATATCCGCATGATGACGTAATCGTAACTACATACAAACGTTACCGTAATTATTGTAATGAACTACTTAAAAAACTGAGAAAAGAATATGAAAAAGCAGAATTAACAGCAGCAGTTAAAACAAGCAATAAAAAACTTTGGAACACAATTAAAACAGTCACAAATACGAATAAATGAAATAATAATGCCGATATATTATCAAAAAAATCTGACCCTAAAACTTCAGTTAATTATGTTAATTCATTTTTTGTAAATATAGGAAAATCTTTGGCAGAAAAACACCACGTTAATAAAAACACTCGTAGCATTTTTCCTACAAATATATCAACACTCCATGGTATTTATTGACACGGACGAACATGAAATAGAGACAATTATTTTAAATATGACATCTGATTGTAGCGTAGGTAGAGATAATATTACTACTTTATTTCTAATAAGGTATAGACATTTACTAGTTCCTCCCATTACCTATATATGTAACCTTTCCCTTAAAACTGGTAAATTCCCCAAGTGTTTCAAACTAGCTGAAATTCACCCTATTTACAAGAGCGGTGATGTGGGCTGTGTCAATAACTATAGACCCATTTCCATTCTTCCCATTATGTCAAAAATTCTTGAAAACGTAATCAACAAGCGTTTGACTAATTACTTAGAGAAACATGATCTGTTATCACATTGCCAATATGGTTTTCGACCAAAACGTTTAACTCAGGATGCAGTTCTTGAACTAACAGATTTCGTTGTTACAAATCTTGACGGTAAAAAGAAAGCAGTTGTTATATTCCTTGATCTAGCTAAAGCGTTTGATACAGTTTATGTCCCGCTCATGTTGAATAGGCTAGAAGATCTTGGAATAAGAAATACACAGCTGAAACTTTTCTCTGGCTACTTAACGGATCGATATCAGAGGGTAAGGATTGGTGGTTGCTACAGTGATGACCTTCCCATATCATATGGTGTACCACAGGGTAGTGTGCTTGGTCCCACGCTATTTCTTACATATATTAATACACTATGTAATCTAAAAATTCACAATGGGAGGATCATTGCCTTTGCGAATGACACGGCACTTCTTTTCCAGGCAGATACATGGTCTGAGGTATTCAACTATGCACAAACGGGTTCGATTTAATAACTAAATGGCTCAAAAATTCTAAACTTACATTAAATGTCGATAAAACAAAATACATAGCATTTACTACCCAAAACATCAATGTATCTGAGTTAGAATACTTTCACATTACAGCTCACTGCTGCTCCCAAATTGAAAGCCCTT